TAAAAGTTTTTCAGGTATTTGTAGAGGCAGAATTATTTATCTGCAAAGAAATCCTTGGGAGAAAAACAAAGTAGTGGGGTCAATGAAGGTGAGAAAGAAGCTACTGAGAGGCAGGAAAGGTGCCTGAGAGTTTGTGTCCTCTGCTCTGGGCGAATGGTGGCTGACCACTGATGACTTCCCTGCATCCTCTTTTGTTTTTCTCCTCATCGACTGCTGCCATTTTCCTTTCACCTTTGCCTCACATGGTTCAGCTAACCTTGTCCTTGGAGCTTGGCCTGGATTTTATTCTCTGAGGAATTTTGAACTGCAGAGGGTCTTGTGGCTGCATCTCAGTCCAGCAGAAGTTCCACAGCTATGCTGAGGTATGAGAAGAGGCTGTCTCAGTGCACCCCTTAGGCTCATCACACTCTAAAGCACCCACTCCATGTTGTGTCTGCAGCACTCAGAAACTGCTTTTATTTTGAACTTCTTCATACTGAGTTAAAATTCATCCTGATGGAGGGTTCACAGAAATGAGAATTCTCAGATATTGATAGTAGTGTAAAATGGTGCAGCCCTGTGAGAAGCTATGTAGAATTATTCAGAAAGTTGAACTGCAGACTCTAGGTGGACCATTGATTCTAGAATGGAAAGTAGGTGTCCTAGAGAATAGGGGACAATAGGGTTACAGCAGGATTCATCACAGCACTCCCAAATAGAAACTATTGAGATGCCCATCACTGATGAGTGAAAACATGCAATCTGGTCCACGGAATATTGTGAACTATGAAATAATACATGCAATCATTTGGATGAGTTAGTCAACCTTCTGTTACTCAAAGAAATTCCTGACACAATCCTGTTACTTGGAGGAAAGGTTAATATAAACTCCTGATTTTAGAAGTTTTCTAATTTTCTGAGCTCATTGCTTTGGGCCTAAGGCAACCTGTGGTTTAGAGAGCTTCTTTGGAAGAAAGATGCCCTTGAGGAAGCATTGTGTGAGAGCAAGGGGCTGGTCCACTGCCATCCAATGGTCCTGTGCTGGGGAACTAACCCTTCAGTGCACAGACTGGGAACTTGCTAGGAGAGCTTGGATTACCGGTCAAAAAACCCTGGGGTTCACCTGTCTGTGTACAGGTTTATAAAGTAAGTACTACACTGACTGATCTGTCCACTGAGTTCTTCTCCCAGGTCACCAGGCATGCATGTGTTATACAGACACACAGGCAGGCAGAACACCCGCACATATAAAGTAAAAGGAAATGAAAAATTTCAAAACAGAGTAAAAGTACACAATCTTTTCTACATCCCTGTGTTCAGAGCATCCTCTGTTTTCCTGCCTCTGGGATTGAAGATGGGTAGAGAGGGTGTGGGTTAATGAAAGGCAACTTTCTTCTCCATGCTATCACAGGTGATCTCTTCTTACAATAGTGTTATCTGGGAAACTAATCATGGATGCAATGTAGTGTGCTTGTATGTGTGCATCCATTCACATGTTCAAGAGTGTGTACGTGCCTGCATGTGCGTATGTGTGTGTGTGTGTGTGTGTGTGTGTGTGTGTCTGTGTGTGCCTGTGTGTGTGGTGTGTGTGTATTTCAAAGGTGCACACAATCCTCTCCTAAAAACACAATCTTCTAATGAACAGGAACATCAAAGACTTGAGGAAGATCTTCAGTCCCTGATGAAGCAGAAGGAGCTGCTCATGCGGCAAAGGGACTTGGCAGCAAAGCTGCAGCATCACTTCACTGTGTCCCAGATGAGGTAGGAGCTCAGGATTCCAGAAGCAGGGGGATCTAAGTGGGTCCACTGTACCTGGATCTCTGTCCTCCTTGAGTTTGTGTT